AAGCATTGTCCATAACTTTGACATTATAACAACCAAGCACTGTCCATAACTTTGACATTGTAACAACGAAGCATTGTAATATTCATTGGATTAAAGTAAGAACCAAAATCATCAAAATACAGGTAAGACTGTAACATATCAAAATACAGGTAACACTGTCCGTTTGTTTTCTTCTATTCCAGATGTGTTGATTATTGCAGAGGCAAGTCATCAATGTTTTGATCAGGCATTTGTCGTTGAGCAGCTTGTTGGTCAGTCAAGAAGACAGTTAACATATCAGCTCTCAGTTGATTGCATTCTTCCTTGGTAAAAGTAGGCATTATGTTTTTATTGGAAACATATTGCCTTATGATGTAGCAAACAAGGAGTCCGCAATCAAGCTTGCAAAATCATTGTGAAAAAAAAATATTATAATTTGGTTTTGTTGCTTTTTTTTTTTTAATAATAGTGTTTTGTTATTGATAAACTTACGATGTGTCATCTTGCTGTGGGCTGTTGATGACGTTATCTGTCTGCTGTTCAAATTTAGCAGGGTGAATGAGAGTTGGGTTCTCATGCTTTATGTATTTTTCAATAATCTGTCTCTGTAACATATACATTTGTATAATTGTTGTATTAGAAAGTCAGTTGAAAATATTAATGAGAAACTATGGATTTGAAGAATGATAAATATATTAATGTATAAATTTTTGATGTATAATTAAGCATGGATCAGATATTATGTATTGGATTAATGGTAAGTTTGATAGTGAAAAGATTTTTACCACTTCATTTGCAGCATTGAAGTGTGGATCTTTAGGCAGTGCTCCCCTTGGTCTCATCGAATTATAGAATTTCCATGAAGCTTCTTCAATGTCTAGGACAAGTATTGTCCAGTGAAAATTTTGGTGAATGGGGAACAGAAGGTATCTTGCTTTCATTGCTTCAGGCATTATTTTGTTGAGCATTCGTGTTCTTGCTTCGTCATCTTTTGTAGTAAACAAGTGCCAACAAATATAAATAAAAAAAATAATGTTAATTTAACTTTAAACTTTTTCAAATTAAATAGGTGGTGAGTATGAAACTTTGTCACTGTGATCAAAATTTTATCAATCCATATCAAAATTTATCAATGCATTGCAAAATTCATTTATACTACATATAAAGGAAACACATCTATTGGTGTCTTGAGGCCTTTTTTTCTCTCCATGTGAAATGGATCTTTATATCCCCTAATACATCTATACTATGCTTCTCTTTCATTCTATAAATATTCATAGATGATCTGTAACAGGCTATATATCCATACTGCTTATTTCAAGTACACTCATGTGAGTGTGCACATCTATTAATATATATATATCATGGTTCTCTTCATTCCATAGTTGTAATGAAAGTTGTCCGTTACTTAATAAATTACATGAAACAAGAGCTCTATGAGGCTTCACCACTAACAAAATGAAAGTGAACTATATCCTGCAACATCATAGCATATAATCAAGCTATTTCAATTTCAACACATCTCAATATTTGTTGAAGTTCTCAATATCATATACAGTAGTTTCAAAAACCCAAAAAAGTGCCCAGAATTTGTAATCAAAGTCTGGGATTTACTCATACTGTGGCGCTACAATAACAAGTGATTATGAAATCTGAGTTAGAAATTCTGGTTTGGTTTGCTTGACTTTTGTTTCACATGTCAAGCTTTGAATTAGGAAACATGGCCAATTGAAGAGGGAAGGTAGTGTCATATGTTTGAAACTAGTTACTCAGTTAAGCAAACAGAGGTTATACATTGATAAAAAACAAAACAAGTGTCGTTCCTCACTTAAGCAAAGTAGTTACCTACATGGCAACTTGAAATGAATACGAATGATGTTGTTCCTTGTTTTTGTGCAAGCAAGTGTTCTGTATATGCATCTATTACCTGTGTTGAAAATAAAAAACAAAAAAAGGAATTAATATAAATGAAACACTAAAATGTTATTTTAATGAGTTACAAATTCAACTTACAATGCCTGCCAAATCTTGACCCTTCAATATTTTGTCAATGTCATTTAAGTAGACATAGGTTCCGTGGTGAGATCCTTGCCACACTGGCTGATCCTTGACAAAAAGGTTATTAGTGTTGGAATAATAAATTTATTAATATTTTTGGAAAATTTGATGTTTATAAATTCAAAATGAGTTAATGATAAACAGTGGGCAAAAGTGAACTACAGGAGTCAAGAGAGAAGATTGTTACTTGTTTTTTTGTATTCGCCCAATGTGCAATGAGATTTTGCCTTGATTTTTCTGGTAGGATGTTGAAAATTTCGTTTGAAGTTTTCAATTTCTTCATTGCAGGCTACTGTTGTGTGTGTTGTTCTTCCAAGTACTTGTTTGCCTCAGCCAATGTTGCAATTCTCTCATGGAGTATTTTGATTTCTTCATCTTTCCTTTGCATTTGTTTTTTGTGCTGTCTTGCATTTCCTTTTTCAACTTGTTGAGTTGCTACTGCAGGCTATCATTTGCAATTTGAAGGATGTCCCTTTCCATTTTTAACTTTTCCATTTTGAGCATGTCGTCTTCTATCCTCTCAAAAACAAGTACTTATACCAGATTTGGATCCACTTCACGCTCTTTGTCAACTTTGTTTCCTTCACTCTTTTGTGATTCAAAGGGTACTGTTTTCTTTTTCTTTTTAGGGCATATTTCGTGTGGAATTGGTATGTTTGGATTTGTCTTCAGTCAATGTTTGTTCATCTATTTCAGAAATTTCAGCCTGATTTTGTTGCTGAAAATCTTCATCTTCATCTTTATCTTTATCTTCATCTTTATCCTGAATTTCTTTTAGCAGCATTCGGTATGTTTTTTTCTCTTCATCTGTGTGCTTCAAATTGTTCTCCTATATATATGAAAATTAAAAAAATGAATGATATGATACAATTTTCAGAGATAAATTTCTCATAGGAAATTTTATCACTCAATTAGGAAAATTAAACAAATCTATGATTGTTATAGCAAATTTTATCACTGAACTGGGCATAGTAAGTAAACCTGTCATTGTATATCAAATTTTATCAGTGAATTAGCAAAAGTAAGCTAATAAAGTAAATATTAAACAAAACTCATGCACAATAGACAAATAGAAAAACATTCACTGGATAAAAGAATTTTTCACTCAATTAGGTAAAGTAAGGGAAATTTGTTACTCAATTAGGCAAATTAAATAAATATATCAGTGTGAACAAAAATTTATCACTGCATAAGAAAATCTATCATTTGTTTACACAAAACAAAGGTTAGCATTGCATACCACAATATCTTTTAGCTCTTGCAAGGATGAACTTGCCAATTTCTGTCCCAAACATGTGATGTTCCATTTAGCAAATCTTGGGATTGCATTTTTGGCATTGGGTTTGATGGTGCTTGTGTGTTTGCATATCCAATGCTGTTGAAAAAAGAAAAAAATTGTTATAAACAAGTATTTAGTAAACGTAAATATTATAGTTCATAAGTTATAAGTGAGATATTTACTTACCAATATGACCATCACACATCCGGACACTCTATCAATTTGGTTGATGTTTCTTTCTATTGATTTTGTGAGATGTTGCTTTGCTGCATCGCACTAATCATAAGACTTCATTTTGTCAATATCTTCAAGATATTTCATGAACCCCCAACCAATTGTAGTGCCAGTACCAGGATATAACAAGAGCAAACAAATAAAGAGGCACACAAGCCTCACAACATCTTCTTTGTCTTCCTTCTTCTTGCTTCTCAAAAGTTTGGTTATCAATTTTTGGATTGAAGCACTTGTCATTCTATTCTCTCTTATTTTCCTTCTTTTTACCAAATCTATGTCATCTTTTCTTCCATATACAAGATGCATCTTCTTTTGTCCACTTGCAATCCCAAAAATTAACTTGAAATCATTTCTTTTCAACTTCAGCTTCTTCCCTCCAATTTCAAATGTGGTTCCATCTATTTGGTATGTTTGCCAGATTTTTGCAACCACATCATCATATTTTATTGAATCTGCTTTTTTCACCTTTTTCTTTGACAAAATGTCAACCAGAAGGAAGAAGGGAGTCTTTTTCAATATTTGGAAATGCTCCTTTTCAAGTTTCGTGGCATTGAAGAATCTGAAGAGGGATAGCATGTTGGAGCAGTACACATATTTTGCTTCACGGTCATGAATTTGATCACTTCTTGTTTTTCTTCCCTCTGTTTTCTTCTTGCCTTTTGGTTTGTGCTGGTTTGGTTCTTGTTTGTTGTGTTGGGGCTTGGTTCTTGGTTCTTGTTTCTGTTTTTTCCTGTTGTTGGTGTTTGGTTATTGTTTCTTTTTGTTGTCCTTGTTTTGGAGCTTCATTTGCAGGTTCTGTCTCTGTCTTTTCTTCCTTTCTTCCTGTTTGCTAGTTGTTTCTCTTGTTGCTGTCTTTTCTTCCTGTCTTTTCCTTTTTGTTGCTGTTTCCTTTTTTTTGTCTTGTTGCTGTTTTCTTTTCATTTGGAGGTTCATCCTTCTGCTGTTTCCTTCTGTTGTCCTTGTTTTTGTCTCTTTCTTGTCTTTCTCTTCTTGCTTTTGGGTTTTTGCTGTTAAAGATCTTCTTTCTGGCATAGATAATGTCATGAGAGAGCTCACAACATCTATATAAAAGAAGGATATCAATGAAGTAGGCAAACCATGCAAAATTTATGGATATACAACCAAATTTATCATTTAATTAAGCAAGAAACACTGATAAAACTTGAATATATTCATAATTTTTCTGTATTGATTTTGTTAGCTAGCAAACAAAATAATTCAAACAAAGAAAGAAGAATGAGAAGAATTATGACAAAATTTATTATGTAATTAAGCAAACAAAGTTTATACAGTAAAGAGTTCTAATAATGATCAGCAAAACAGACCACTCAATTGAGTTGGGTCAGATGCATGTGGCAATAGTTGGGAAGGAATTCATTGCACCAATTCACGTGTGACATGTATTTAAGTTGCTATTGTTTTTTACCTTCAATGGATTGTTGATGTTTCTTTATTCTTTTCTTTGCTTTTGCTTGTTTTTGAGCTTCATCTGCAGGTTCTTGTTTCTGATGTCTCTGTTTTTTCTCCCTTTCTTGTTGTTTGGTTCTTGTTGCTGTTCTTGCAGTTTCCTTTTTGTTGCCTTGTTGCTTTTTTTTTTTTGTTCCTCTTCTTGCTTTTGGGTTTTTGCTGGTAAAGATCTTCTTTCTGGCACAGATAATGTCATGAGAGAGCTCACAACATCTATATAAAAGAAGGATATTAATGAAGTAGGCAAACCATACAAAATTTATGGATATGCAATCAAATTTATCATTTAATTAACCAAAGAAACACTGATAAAACGTGTGACATCTATATAAGTTGCTATTGTTTTTTACCTTCAATGGATTGTTGTTGTTCGCTTATTTTTTCTTTTGCTTTTGATTGTTTTTTAGCTTTATCTGCAGGTTCTTGTTTGTGATGTCTCTGTCTTTTCACCCTTGCTGCTTGTTTGATTCCTGTTGATGTTCCTGTGGTTTCCTCTTTGTTATCTTCTTGCTTTTTCGTCTCATTGTTGTCTTGCTTTTCTCGCTTTTGCCTTTTTGCAGTATAAGCTCTTGTTTCTGGTCTAGTTAATCTCTTACGAGAACTTGCAACATCTATATGAAAGATGTATATGAATGAATTAGGCAAACCATGCAAAATTTACGGATGTACGACAAAATTATCATTTAATTAAGCAAAGAAAATATTCATAATTCCTCTGGATTCATTTTGTTAGTTAGCAAACAAAATAATTTAATTGAAACAATCAAATAAGAATAAGAAGAATTATGAAAATTATCCTAATTTATCCCTGAGGCAAATTCAGCAATAAAAAAGAAAAAGAGAAAAATAGACTGAGGCAAATTCTTCCCCAAAAGAGAACAAATTTGTTAAAGTTGGTGAGTCTATTGACTATTGTGTCAATCATCTTCTGCCTACGTCAAATTTTTGCAAATGTATCCCTATATAGAAATAGAGATGGATGTGTAAGTGATAAACTTATCAGTTGGTTTGGTATGTGAACCAAACTTATGAGTTGGTTTGATAATTTAAAACCAATAAATTATCAAATTAAAACTAATCAAATCTTACTTGATGTCAATTACTCTCTTATGGGAACAAACAGTTACAGAATCACACCCTATAGTATGGTTTAATTATCAAATCTATAAATTGGTTTGAGTCCTACAACAGAAAAAAGGTTTATCAGGGTAGACACCTTGATTTGATGCACTTCTATTATAAGGTAAAAGTATTGCAAGGTTCTGTTTGTAGGTTACATGAATAGCGTGATTTGTATATTTAAGTTTGGTAAATATCATTGAGTTACCAAAAGAGAGGTGTAGTTTATAATCGATCAAATATTAAACAAAAATCAGACAAAAAATTAATCCATGAAGTGTAAAAAAGTTACAATTTTTGAGAAATTGGACATAGTGAAATAACCAAATAAAAAATAAAATAAAATATATCAAAAGAAGGATGCTAGTTATTATCAATCAAATATTAAACAAAAGTCACACAAAATTTAATCTATAAAAATTACACACATGTAGTGTGTGCATCGTTCTAATTACTATTATATATGCGAACAACTCATTTTAATATCTTGAACCCACTCCCTACTTTAGTCTTTTGAACCGACTCCCTCCTTATTTGTTAGCTGATTTTTTTTGTATCAAAAATTTGACGGGTTGTAATGATGACTCGTTGATTGTGACGATGAGCATTGCAATCCAACGGTGGGCAGTGGGTCAAGTCAACTGGAGAAGGTCCGGTTGGTAGGTTGGTGGGTCTTGGTGACGGGTTATAATGATACTCGTTGATTGACCGTCGGATGGAGTTTGCTAATTTGTTAAAGGAGAAGGGTTTAAGAACAGTGGCCCACTTTTGGTGACTCCATAGAGTTGTTTGTGGGGTCTAATGCTAAGGATCTGTTTGGCATACTGAAAAATTTTATTTCTTCATCATGTGATTTGTATATTTAAGTTTGGTAAAGATCATTGAGTTACCAAAAGAGAGGTGTAGTTTATAATCGATCAAATATTAAACAAAAATCAGACAAAAAATTAATCCATGAAGTGTAAAAAAGTTACAATTTTTGAGAAATTGGACATAGTGAAATAACCAAATAAAAAATAAAATAAAATATATCAAAAGAAGGATAGTTATTATCAATCAAATATTAAACAAAAGTCACACAAAATTTAATCTATAAAAAATTACACACATGTAGTGTGTGCACCGTTCTAATTACTATTATATATGTGAACAACTCATTTTAATATCTTGAACCCACTCCCTACTTTTGTCTCTTGAACCGACTCCCTCCTTATTTGTTAGCTGATTTTTTTTGTATCAAAAATTTAAAAAAAAAAATATTTTTAAATGAACCTAATTTTGAACTTGAAAACCAACACTCTGATCACTTGATCAACGAACATTTTACATATTCATAAGTTTTATTTTCCGAAAATGCCCTAATATTGTTCAAATTTGCAAGTTGTAATTGAACCATTTCTAGGGTTTTTGAAAATGTGTTTGACTAGGGAGAGAAATTAGGGTTTAGTTCCTTACGCTTTACAGGCATATTTCCTCGAATTTTTTGTTCGAATCGGTTGATTTGGTGCTCGAATCGCCTGAGTTGTGTTCATTGTTTTGCTTGAGAGTGGAAGGGATTCGCCGACGATGGAGAATGAAAAAAACAGAGCTTCAATCGCGTGACTCACGCTTTTGTTTCCCCTGTTTGTCAAATATATTGTGTTCAAAAAGTACTCTTTTTTTTTAATTTTTTTTTATCGGTGATAAATTTATCAATGGCATATATATTGGTACAATAGGAAGATATTTTGAGTTTTGCAATTGATTTTCAATTTAAATTGTTCAACATTTCAGTTTAGAAAATGCTTGAACTTTCTCATATTCATATTCAGATGAAATATAAACATATTATATTTGGTATTGAAATAAAATACTTGTAATACTTATTAAAAAAAAATAAATTAGCTATCAACTTAAAATCAATAAAACCTGATTCTTAAATATTAGTATTTTGGACTGTAAAATTATAGTATGATCTTTTAACATTCTTGAGCTCATGTGTAATTAAGTACAAATAATTTTTTTAATTTTTTTTTGTTATGAATATATTCAAGTTTTATTAGTGTGTTCTTTATAAACATTGAATATATTCTAAACATTGAATAATTTTTTTAATTTTTTTTTAATGCATGTATTCTAAACATTGAATGTAATTAAGTACAAAACATTGAATCTTTCATTGTAGCAAATTAAGAACCAAAATGATCAAAACAATGTAACACTGTTTATGTTTTAATTTTTAATTTAGGTAATTTTTTTTTTTATAGTGTTTTGCTTACTTGAATTAGTAAAAGAGAGAGAGAGAGAGAGAGAGAGAGAGAGAGAGAGAGATTTTACAATAGTACTTCTTTTTTTATCAGTAGCAAATATCTTGCTACAATAGCAAGATATTTTGAGTTTTGCAATTCATTTTCAGTTTAAATTGTTCAAAATTTCAGTCTAGGAAATGCTTCAGGGTTCTCATGTTCAGATGAAATATAATACATGAGAACATTCTTGAAATACTTGTAATACTTATTAAAAAAAAATAAATTAGCTATCAACTTAAAATCAATAAAACCTGATTCTTAAATATTAGTATTTTGGATTGTAAAATTATAGTCTTTCAACATTCTTGAGCTCGTGTGTAATTAAGTACAAATAATTTTTTTAATTTTTTTTTTTTGTTATGAATATATTCAAGTTTTATTAGTGTGTTCTTTATAAACATTGAATATATTCTAAACATTGAATAATTTTTTTAATTTTTTTTAATGCATGTATTCTAAACATTGAATGTAATTAAGTACAAAGCATTGAATCTTTCATTGTAGCAAATTAAGAACCAAAATTATCAAAACAATATAATACTGTTTATGTTTTAATTTTTAATTTAGGTAATTTTTTTTTTATAGTGTTTTGCTTAGTTGAATTGGAAAAAAAAGAATGACAGAGAGACAGAGAGACATTTTACAATAGTACTTTTTTTTTTTTTATCAGTAGCAAATATCTTGCTACAATAGCAAGATATTTTGAGTTTTGCAATTCATTTTCAGTTTAAATTGTTCAAAATTTCAGTCTAGGAAATGCTTCAGGGTTCTCATGTTCAGATAAAATATAATACATGAGAACATTCTTGAGCATTTTATAACCATGAGAACACTCTTGAGCATTTTAATAACACCTAATTCTTAAATATTAGTATTTTACATTGTAAAATTATAATATGACTTTTCAACATTCTTGAGCTCATGTGTAAGTAACTACAAATAAGGGTTTTCTTTTTTACAAATTTATTCTAACTGCACTTATATCTTATTTTTAAAAATTTTACAATGATCAACAATGTAATAGTGTATGTGTTTTAATTATCAATTTAGGTAAATTTTTAATTTTTTTATAGTGCCTTGTTTAATTGAGTTTGGAAAAAAGAATGAGAGAGAGAGAGAGAGAGGTAGTGGTTTTTTTGTTTGAACAGTAATAAATTTGTCAGTGTTGACAGTGATAAATTTGTTAAAACAGTGATAAATTTATCAGTGTAAACAAAACACTATTAGAAAATAATTTTGTCAGTATAGTGATTCCAAACCTGTTATTAACCTTTAAATTTGACACAAATAATCAGATTATAATCAATTTTTTGAATGAAATTTACATAAAACTAGACTGATATCCAAAGCTAGATATGTTAACAATATGGATAAAAAATAAATGTTTCATTAAAGCAAATGAAGAACCAAAATAATCAAAACAATGTAATAGGGTTTGTGTTTTAATTTTCAATTTAGGTAATTTTTTTATTTATTTATAGCGTTTTGTTTAATTCAGTTTGGGAAAAAGAATGAGAGAGAGTGGTGCTGGTTTTTTTGTTTAAACGGTGAAAAATTTATCAGTGTTTACAGTGATAAATTTGTTGAAACAGGGATAAATTTATGAGTGAAAACAAAACACTATAAAAAAAAAATTATCAGTATAGTGACTCCAAACCTGTTATTAAGCTTTAAATTTGACACAAATAATCAGATCACAATTAATTTTTTGAATGAAATTTGCATAAAACAAGACCTATATCAATAGTCATATCTGGTAACAATTTGGTTAAAAAAAGACTGAATGTTTCATTGAATCAAATTTGACATTGTAACAACCAAGCATTGTAATATTCATTGAAGCAAAGTAAGAACCAAAATGATTGTAATGTTTGTCCAAAATTATTCAAGCATGGTTGTCATTGTGTATTGTGTCCCAAAACTCCTTGTCTTCAAGCACCGCTTCTATTGCCTTATCAACAATTTGCTAGGTGTCTGTCTGTTGGTTAGTCAACAAAGCATCTATGATATCTGCTCTGATTTGGTGGCACTCCTACTTTGTTAAGTTGGGAAAGATGTCTTTGTTACAAACATATTCTCTCATGAGGTAACAAACTATGACGCCACAATCAAGTCTACGATGACATTAGAAAAACAAAGTTAGTAGTCATCAATTATAATTTTATCAATGTAATGTGTTTTGGTTTTTAAAAACTTACGAATGATCAACTTGTTGGGGACAATTCATTGCAATTTCTGTTTCTTCATGAAACTTGTTACCTTCAATGAGTTTGGGATTGTGATGGTGAAGGTATTTTTCAATAATCTTTCTCTGCAAAATATATTAATAATTAATTGGTGTTTGACAAATAAATGCATAATAAAATTTGATATAGACAAGGGGAATGGATGACATCATAATTAATTGGTTGTTTACCACTTTGTTTGCCTCATTTAAGTGGTTATCTATTTCTGTGCTTGGTCTCATTGAATTGTAAAACTTCCATGAGCCATTTTCAGTATCAAGTACCAACAACGTCCAATGCTTTTCATTGAAAACTGGGAAAATAAGATATCTTTCCTTGACAGCTTCTAACATCATGTTGTTCAACAATTGATTTGTTTCTGCCTCATCCTTTGTGGTGAACAAATACTGTGTTTTGCAAATATATTAGTTTTGGTTACAATATAATTCATTAATGGTAATTTTATCACTATAAGACTAGATGAATGAGAACTTATGCACTTGATTTAGACAAGGGGAATGGTTGATATCGTAATGAAGTATATATACATATATATATGTAATTTATTTACATGGCATGATGTAGTACATATATATGTTGTTCTTGCTTGCGAGCTGAGGCTGAACTTTGGTTTCAGTTGCTCTTCTGTCATTAAGATTTCCTTGTATGCATTTATTGCCTGTTGTAAAAACAAAAGCAAACAAGGTTAATGAGAGAATTATTATTTGGTATTATAATTGATATATGCACAAATAGGGATTTGATTTTACATTTTCAGAAAGTTCTTCGCATCTGACTATTTTGTCAATATCATCCAAGTACAAATAGCTGCCTACTTCCTTTCCTTGTAAAATTGGATAACTGCAAATGTGAAAACAAAATTTATCACTGTATACCAAAATTTGTTGCTCAATTAACAAAACAAAGGTTAGGGGAACAAATTGAGCATCAAATTTTAGTTGATGTATCAAATCCGAACAATGAAATGAAATAGAGAACATAAACTCAAATGCCTAAATAATTTGATACCATAGATGAGACACGATGAAGATTAGCAAAATATATCACTCTACCAAACAAATTAAGTAAAATTTATCACTATGTAGCAAATTTTATCACTGTATATCAAAATTTATCAATGAATGAAGTAAACAAAAGTTATACATTGATAAATGCATGACCATACACTAAAATTTAGATTCCAAATTTGGAAATTTTACGACCAAATCATGTTCTTACCTGCTGGTTTTTGTTGCCCAAAGACTGGTGAGTTTCATCCTTGATTTCTTTGGCAATTTTTGAAACACTGGATAGGAAGTGTCAATTTGTTTTGTTGGACGTTGATGTTGTGTCTGCTCTTCTTTTCTAGTCTTTGCACTTTCTTCAACCATTGGTTCTAGTTCATCAACTGTCTTGTTCTGCTTTGGTTGTCTATTCGTTACGTACCAAAAATCTGGATCTTTGTGCTCTTTTCTTGTTTCTCTATTTTTTACCCTTTTTATCATTGAGCTCACAAGAGGCGATGTTTTGGAAGTGGTGGCTTCAACTTCAACTACGATTTTTTCTTCTTCACTGTCCAGGTAGAGATTTGATTCAACCAACATTGCAATTCTCTCATTAAGTAGCACCATTTCCACATCTTTGACTTCCATTTGTATCTTTGCTTTCTTGCTCTGTTCTTCCATTTGTTTACTGAGCTTCATGAGTTAGTCCTTAAGCTCATCATTTTCTGCTTGGATTCTTGCCTTCTCCATTTCTAGCCTTTGGATTATCAGGACATTCTCTTCTAGTTTCTAAAAGGTATGTTCATTAATTTTCACATGGTAAATATTTGTTTCATAGGCAAGTTTCCTTTTTGCTTTCCTCTTTTCAGCCGGTGTTTGATGCTTGAATCGCAGGGAAGTTGTTGGACCAACTTTCTGTTTGATCGTTGTTTCTTCTTCATCATTTTCTAGGTTGTCAAAAGAAAGCTCATTTCTTTGCACATGAACTGGACCTTCTTCAGTTTCATGCTAAAAGTTGGCTTTCCTTCTTGCATTCTTTTTTTATTGCAATGTTGTTGATTTCCTCTTTTTTCGAGCACCTGTTTGATGCTTTGGATTCGGTGAATTTCTTCCTGGACTGAGACTGAATATCTTTGTGATAATTGGTTCTTCTTCCTTTTCAGATAATTCAGTCTCCTCTTGTTCCTCAAAGTTACATTCTTCATCTTCATGTTCATCATCTGTTTATGGTTGCAATTGTTTGTATATGTTCTATTCTTCAATTGTGTCTTTCAAATTGCTCTCCTACATGAATGAAAATTATTAAAAAGAATGATATGACGCAAAGTTAAGTAATAATTTATCATTCTGTGATTCAAATGTATAATAATAACTTATCATTTGATTTTGCTTCATGATAACAAGTTTTATCAGTGAATTAGCAACATTAAGCAAAATTTATCACTCAATGAAGCTTACTAAGAAAATTTATAACTGTGAGCAAAAAGTTATCAGTCCATATGAAAATTTATCGCTGCATAGCAAAATTCATCACTCAATTAAAGAAATAAAGGTTATACACTGATAAAACTTGTTTATTGAATAATTTCCTAGCACAGATGAAATGCCTAAATAATTTTTCTACCACAAATGAGACACCAAGAAGATTAAGAAGAATTTATCAGTCTTGCTAAAATTTATCACTGCATAACAAAATCTAATATTTGTTTAAAGAAAACAAAGGATATGAACGGATACCTCAATATGTTTCAGATCATGCAAGGATGACTTTGCCAATTGTTCTCCCAGATGTGTAATGTTTCATCTTGCAAATCTTGGGATTGGGTTCTTGTCATTTGGTTTGATGATCTTTGCATGCTCACATATCCAATACTGTTGAGGACAAAAAAAATGTTATAAATTAGTATTTAGTAAATGTAAATATTATAGTTTACAAGTTGTAAGTGAGGTATTTACTTACCAATAAGATGATCACACATCCGCAGACTCTATCAATTTTGTTGATGTTGCGTGCTATTGATCTTGTAAGATGTTGTTTTGCTGCGCCACACCAATCATAAGACTTCATTTCATCAATATTCTCGAGGTACTTCATGAACCCCCAACCAATTGTTGTCCCAGTACCCGGATACAACAAAAGCAAACAAACCAGAAGGCACACAAGCCTAATGACATCTTCTACATCTTCATTGTTATTGCTTCTCAGAAGTTTCGTTATCAACTTTTGGATTGAAACACTTGTCATTCTGCTCTCGGTTATTTTCCTTCTTTGCACCATAGCTACCTCATTTTTTCTTCCGTATGCAAGGTTCATCTTCTTCTGTCCACATGCAATCCCAAAAATTAATTTGAAGTCATTTCTTTTCAACTTCAGCTTCTTCCCAGTAATTTCAAATGTGGTTCCATCCATTTGGTAAGTTTGTAAAATTTTTGCAACCACATCATCATATTTAATTGAATCTCTTCTTTTAACCTTGTTTTCACTCAATGTATCAACCAGAAGTGAAAAAAGTGTCTTTCTCAATACTGTCAAATGCTCCTCTCTAAGTTTTGTTGTCTTGAAAAATTTGATAAGAGATTGAATGTTGGAACGGTAGACATACTTTGCTTCATTATCATGTATCTGTTCAGTCCTAGTTTTTCTTCCATCAATTTTTTTCTTCCCTCATGGTTTGTGGAGCTCTGTAGGTTGTTTCAGTTGTTCCTGTTTGGGCTCCCCATTGTCAATGTTAGATTCAGGTTTAACTTTTAGTTGATTTTCACTTTCATGTGTTATTGGCTCTATAACAAACTCAACTTTTTCAATCTTTTTCTTCTTTGAGAAACTTGTTTCTCGACGATGTAATCTTTTATGATGGCTAGCAACATCTGTACAAAAACATTGAGCATGAACATTAAAAATTAAGAAGAATTTTATCACTGAACTAGGCAAACTAAGTAGAATTTATCAATCTATTATGCAAACTAAGCAAATATATAACTGTGTAGCAAAGTTTAGATTCCAAATTGCAAAAGAACATGAAGTATCATGATGAAGATGAGAACAATTGTATAGCAAATTTTATCACTGAATTAGCAAAAATAAGAAAATGCATCATTGTATAGCAAATGAACATAAAGGTATGATTGTTATGATGTTGAATATCACTCATAAATTAATACAGTATGGTACAGATTTAAAATAGCTTCAGGTCGAATTTTATCACTCAATTATAGTTATGAAAGAAGAAGGAAAGCAAATCCATCATTATAACAAATTTTATCACTCAATTAGGAAAATTAAGCAAATCTGTCAATCTTATAGCAAATTTTCTCACTAATTTGGGCAAAGTAAGCAAATCTGGCATTGTATAACAAATTTTATCACTGAATTAGCAAAAGTAAGCAAATCTATCATTGTATAGGAAATGAACATGAAAATGTGATTATTATGAAGTTGAATATCGCTCATAAATTAATGTTGTATGGTACAGATTGGAAATAGCTTCAAGTCGAATTGTATCACTCAATTATAGTTATGAGAGAAGAAGGGAGGCAAATCTATCATTATAACAGATTTTATCACTGAATTGGGAAAATTAAGCAAATCTATTATTGTTGTAGCAAATTTTATCATTGAATTGGGCAAAGTAAACAAATCTGTTATTGTATATCAAATTTTATCACTGAATTAGCAAAAGTAAGCAAATCCATCATTGTATAACAAATGAACATGAAGATGTGATTATTATTGAAAATAGTTTCAAGTCGAATTTTATTACTCAATTATAGTTATGAAAGAAGAAGGGAAGCAAATCCGTAGTTATGAAATAAGAAGAGAAGCAAATCCATCATTATAACAAATTTTATCACTCAACTAGGAAAATTAAGCAAACCTATCATTCTTATAGCAATTTTTCTCATAGAATTGGGCAAAGTAATGAAATCTGTTATTGTATATCAAATTTTATCACTGAATTAGAGAAAGTAAGCAAATCCATCATTGTATAGCGAATTTTATAACTCAATTACAGTTATGAACGAATAAGGGAAGCAAATCCATCATTATAACAAATTTTATGACTCAATTAAGAAAATTAAGCAAATCTATCATTCTTATAGCAAATTTTCTCACTGAATTGGGCAAAATAAGCAAATCTGTTATTGTATAGCAAATGAACATGAAGATGTGATTATTATGAAGTTCAATATCACTTAATTATAGTTATAAAAGAAGAACAGAAGATGAATACGACTCACGTTTCATTCGCATGTTTGTTGAAGATGAACGAAACAGGGAATGTAGATCGAAACGGTGAAGGATTTGCTGGAAATCTGTTCGGAATCAGATTATTGATCGAAACAGAGGTGATTTCTTTGGAAACAATGGGAGATACAGGGAAAATCTCTTCGTTTGTTTTGATTTCCAAATCGCAAATCGCTTCAGAATGGTTTCCAAATCGCCTCAGAATAGTTTCCAAATCATAACATTTGAGAAGGAGCGTGTGTTTCACGCGCGTGTGGTGTGACATTCAGGGGTAAAATTGGAAACTGAAATAGGGCAGGACTTGGTGGGTATTAATTTGTTTGCATGGGAACGGCTGGTAAGTGCCCCTTTTTTTTATTTAATTTGTTGGGTTGTATTGGTTTGGTTGTTTTTGGGCTGTGTTAGTTTGGTTTTTTTTTTTTTTTTTTTTTTTTTTTTTTTTTTTTTTTTTTTTTGGGAAGGGTGGTTATGTGCAGGGGTGTGTCAAAAAATTAAGTATCTCGCACCAATTCAGCCTGTGTGGTCTAATAAGATGAGTGAGTTGGATTGGACGGTTTGGGTGATAAAATTGACTGATCAGTTAAGCTCCTGGTTAAAATTAATTAATTCCAGATAATTTTGAACGAGTCCCTATTATATTTTTATTTTAAATTAGGAAGACTCGAAAGAAATTGAAATAGCTTTGGTATTGTTTATGCAAAAAAAAATTATCCAGAAATAAAAATATACTAGGGACTCATACAAAATTATATGAAATTAACAAATTTTAACTAGCAGTCTAACTGATCAATCAATTTTATCACCTACCCATTCTAACCCAACTCACTCACCTTATCAAACTACACAAATTGAATTGATATAAAATATATAATTTTTTTAACATATTTCTATACATAATCACCCTTTCACAAAAAATGAAAATAAAAATAAAAAATTCGAAACATTGGAGCCTCATTTTGTTGAGGCCTAGCACTGCTCTTGTTTGAATCTCTAACTTGTACAAAAAAAATATAAATAATATTAATATTAATAGTAGGTGCAAACTCTCGTCACTCCTCTAATCTTAAAAAAAACAAAAACTATCGTGACTATTGCTCCGGCCTCCTTTGGTAAGTAATTTTTTTATTTAAAAAATTATTAAAAAAATTAAAAAATTAATAATTTATATAAAAAAGTTAAATTTTTTAAAAAATTTTTTACACATCTTTTTATAAAAAATTAAAAATTCATTCTAAATATACTCTTTTTTTTAACTCATATTTTAGCCAAATATCAAAAAAATTACAAAATTAGCATATTCCCAAACGAAGTCTCAATATCATCTTCCAGAGTAATTTTTGTATACAAATAAAATATTTAAATATATGTTATGTGATATTATTTATTATTATGATTAATTTTAGCAATAAAATTTATTACATTTATGTTAAATATTTATAAAATAATAAGAGACATATATATATATATATATATTTAATAGAAAGTATTGTTATGTAATACCCTTTTGATGAGTAATTTTTATATACGGATAGGATATAGAATAATGTTAGAAATCTTAAATATTTTATTAAATATGGATATGAGATCACAAAGAACCCACATAATATGGGTCCTACGTCTATATAAGATATTTAATAAAATATATGTGATATATTCTCTTATTATGATTAATTTTGACAATACTACATTTGCATTTAGTGTTTGAAAAATAATAAAAAACATATATATTTATAAATGATTAATTTTGACAATACTACATTTGCATTTAGTGTTTGAAAAATAATAAAAAACATATTTATTTATAAATTAGTGAAAAATAATATCACGTCTATGTTATTCAAATACAAAAATTTCTCTTCCGGATAAGCGTATACATATGACCTCTCAATCAAAAACTAATGGCATTTATGTAATTTTGAGACAGAAAAGAGGGCAGAACCGGGCTTAAAGAAAGCAAATTTATGCATCCACGTGGATTATAAATCAGTTTCCCTTCTTTTCCTCTTTCTTCTAAACCCGACGCGCATCCTCCTCCTCCTCCGCCTCCTCTCTCTCTCTCTCTCTCTCTCTCTCTCTCTCTATGTATATATCTATATCTATTCGCTCTACTCGTGATCGCTCCTCCTCGTAGACGTGAAATAGAGAGAGAAAGAGAGAACTCAACCATGGACGAGAATTCTGCGGCCATTGAAGCAATTCTGAGAGGAGGAGAAGAAGAAGAAGAAGAAGAAGAAGAAGAAGAAGAAGAGAGCAGCAAAATCAACAACAAAGGAACCGTGGACAACGATGGCGGATGGAAAACGGTGTCGTACCAGAAGCGCCACAGAAAGAAGTCGGTGAAGGCCCCGGAGGCCTTCTCCGATCCCCAAAAGCTCGGCTCCTCTGCCACTGGCGATGTCTTCCGGTCGATCGAGCAGCACTCCGAGGAGCGTCGCCACCGTCTCGAAGCTCAGAGGGCCGCCGGAGAAAACGCCGTCAAATTGAGCGGTGATGACGTGGAGGATGGTGCCGATGTTGAGGCCGCCTCCAGTGTCGACAATGGCGGTGCGGAGGCGAAGAAGACTAAGGTGAAAAGGCCGAAGAAGCCGAAGGTTACTGTCGCTGAGGCGTCGGCGAAGATTGATGCTTCTGATCTTGCTGCTTTCCTTGCTGATATAACGGTGAGCGTTGAATTCTTTCGACTTTATGTATCAATTCAATCTAATTGAGCCTGATCTGTTATTCAGATGGATTTGGATTGAGTTTTTTTGTTAAGAAAATTGAATTTTGTTTGTGTTTTTTTTTTTTTTTTAAATATATATATATTTCAGGTTTCGTATGAATCGCAGCAGGATATACAGCTCATGCGATTCGCGGACTATTTTGGCCGTGCATTTGCTTCTGTGAGTGCGTCTCAATTTCCGTGGATGAAGACATTCAAGGAGTCTTCTGTTGCAAAGATGGTTGATGTCAGTTTCTTTCACCTTTGAAAAGTTTTTTTTTTTTTTTTTTTTTAAATTTGATTTCATCTGATGAGGTGTAGAAAAACTGTCTTTTGCGTAACTTGGATCAAGAATTTTGGATAGAGAAACATAATTCAAGGCAGAGAGAACTCAAAAGGTCTCATCTTTTTTTCTTTTTGGAAAACGATTGTATCTCTGAAATGTGGATAAGTTGTGTGACAAAAAGTTTGAGTTTTAAATGAAGAGGTGTCATATGATCAAATCAATCTGCAGAATTTTATGTTTTGTACATGCATATCTGCAGAATTTTGTGTTTTGTAAATGCATGGTCTTTATGCTTTCTTTCAAATTTCACTGTTTTATTATTTTACTCTTTTTTTTTAAAAAAAAAATTATTATTATTATATATATATGTATTGTATGCCTTCAATTAATGATTTTGAGGATTTGGAAGAGGCGAATGTTTTTATCAACTAGGGAGATATCTTTGATGCACTTTTCTGGAAATCATTTTATCTTATTTTGAACACTCACACGGACCATCTCCAACACTGCATCTAATATTTCATCAAATTTAAATTTGATGAAAAAGGGCAACTGTTTAACCTCCAACCCTTTCATCAAACTCATATCAAATGAGGGATGAACCAAAACTTTCATCAAATGAAAGGAACCTTTCATTTTTCATCAAATTTAAATTGTTACCGTTGGGCCAAACATCTCCACCCAAAAGCAATTTGATAGCCTTTTTTTATTCATGTCCGGACGACTTTCAGAACATCCGCCCAAATGTCTTTCTGGACAACCGGGAATGTGAAAAAATATAATGAAATTTCGAATTTTAGCATTAGAGTGAACGATATCAAATCAAACTTTTCATCAAATTTTTACTCAAATTTGATGAAATTTTTTATTCAACGTTGGAAATGCTCATCATCATTCATCATAAATTTTTGTAATAACAAGTTTAGATTCCTAAATTTACATAACTACCTCTTTGTCAAACAGATACCAATTTCTCATATATCTGAAGCCATTTATAAGGCATCAACTGACTGGCTTAACCAACGATCCTTTGAAGCACTTGGTTCCTTTGTATTGTGGTCAATGGATAGCATAATTTCTGACCCAGCTATCCATCAAGGAGCAGCTAAGGGGTCAAAAAAGGTGGTTCAGCAAGCTCCTTCAAAATCTCAGGTAATTTTCTCCATTTTCCTTCTTGAGCTTATTGTCAATTTATATTTATTTTTTATTTTTAACTTAAAAGTGAAAAAAAAAAAATAATAATAATTGGAAGAAGAAGAAGAGAAGCTTCTTAAGTTGTTGATGATTCATGGAACTAGAAGTGCCAGGAATCTGATACTTGGTTTTGTCGGATGTAACGTTGACATAAATTGTCTGATGGATAAATTCAATATTTTGCGGTGTTGTTTTCGTGGTGAAGTTCAAAAACATTTTTGTCGAAATACACGCAGTCAATAGCACGTGTGTTTTGGTAGCTACATGACAATTAAGAATGGAGGGGAAACAAAGCAATGGATTATTTATGTTTTACGAGATTGGGCACATGCGTCACAATTCAACATGGAGGGTTGCCCCTACTGTCATAAATGGTACAAATTGCACTTTCTATGCGCATCTAGAAAGGCCATTGACAGATGGACAATTGTTAGAAGCTTCAATACTATCACATTCTTATGTGGATTTGAGGAAAGAGGAGTTATACTTGTATATGAAATGTAATTACCTTTTTTAGCTTTCTTAAATTGATTGGTGTTTGAGAGTTGTTATGAGAATTTTAAAATGTGATACAGTTTCAGCGCACCAAATGGCCTGTTTGATTTACAATATTAGTGTAGATTAGTCAAGTATGAGGAGGTTTTATAGTTGCAATGCAAATATAAACCCATTTTATGGCATAACCATAAATGTAATTAAAATCTCTTTCATCTCCATGCCTTACTATAGGATACACCATGTTTTTAAGAATGTGATTATTTGACTCATACACCAGAAGCTTGTTTTACCTTCATCGTCTGGGAGCTTGGTGCCCGTAGTTTTTTTAGATGATAAAATAAAATTAGGCCCTATAATATTAGTCTGCTAATACTCAATACCATAGTGCCATGAGTAGACATCTGAAATGTTGCATTTAAAGTAGCCTAGTTGTGCACGAAAGATGGATGATAAGAAATTATAAAAATTAACATTTGTGCAAAGATTCCATGGTCTGCATGCAAAGCACAGTTGAGAAGGTTGGTGATTAAAATAATTTGTCGTTTGGTAACGTAGTGTTGTAATGGATATACTTGTCAGTTATTTGTACTCGGAAACATTTATATCGTTAATACACTCGTGCACATGTTGATTCTGCAGCTCTTTCCAAATTTAACCAGTCCATGAGTTTTATCATAAAAATTATCTTACATGTCATGACTCCGCGTAATTAGCAGTATCATCAAGAGCAAAACTTAAAAGACATTGTGTGAACACAGCTGTGACAGTGGTAATGTTACCCTTCAAGCTGATTATAAGAGGATGGCCACACAATTATGTAAGCATTTATTTGTTATGCATGTGAGGGAAGGCTGATTTGTCTCACCTGCAGTGTCAGCTAAAAGTAGAACATGATAAGAACTGTAACATGCCATTTATCAACTATTTAGTATTGACATGGATAAAAGTACGGCATGATCAATGTTCTAAAAAGAAGCCGTTACCGTTATCTAACACCATTGCGTAAGGCCCTCGTTAACATTTCATACCACTATAGCAGTGAATAAAAATCACACCATCACAGTTTTTTTACCAGTTGCTGCTGTAAACCACTGTTGTTTTCCTTTTTTCCCATGTAGCACAGCATTCCCTTTTCCCCCTAGCTTCTCTGCTAGATAAAATTACATGTTATTTAAGATCGGCTCAAGCGAAACTTGATTGATCTTATCCAAACTCAACTCAGCATTGTTCGGCAGAGGTCAAGTCCAACTGGAGCTCATTTATGCATATCAACAAACAACAAACATGATAAAAACACAAGTCTTGAATTATCAAGATCTAGAATAGAAAAGCGAATTGAATGAGTTTTGAAGAGGAAAAAAAATGTGTAAAAACACAAAATGAGTAAATCATAACCTTTGATGTGAAGAAAATCAAGATTCATCACTTGAATATTTAAAAGAAAATAAAAATGAAAGAATGCGAAAGAGTACCAAATTACTAATTTGAAAGAGAGACGAGAGTTGTAGAGGTGGTGTAGGCTGTGCTGCTGATTGAAGCTGGAGAAGAAACTGGTGCATGGGTGGTAACAGTGGCATTGCTCACCCTAATTTATAAGTCTTCTTTGAAGCTTGAATGCCTTGAATTCTGACTTTCTGGTCTATTGTCAGCTACGAGGTATGGATACTGCTAGAAGGGAGTCGTATCTGTACATACTTGTGTTGGATACCGATGCTCCTTGGATACTCATGAATACATATTCAATACTTGAAATTAATTTTCTTTAATTTTGACAAGTATTGAATACTTTTCAGGTAATGTAAGTCAAGTATCTGAACTCAATTATGAAAATTGAGATTGTAATAATTCTTGGATAGCTTTAGAGTATAATTTTTTGGATAAATACAAGAATCGTTTTTTGATACTTTGCTTCCTTCATAGAGAAGAAGAAAATAGTGAGACTTTTTGGACTTCATTGAATTGAAGTACCCTTAACGTGTCATATCCAAAAAAATTAATGTGGTTGCTACAGCTCTGAAACTAATTGTAACACGTAATTTCTGAAGAATGGTTTATTATTATTCTTTAAGCTATGTATATTACAATTCTAGAAGTTATTAAAAAATATAAATAAATGTGTCCTGATCCTATTTTTTGTTTTGTTTTGTCGTACTGTTATCGTATCGCGTCTGTGCTTTATGGATTGTCAGTTATGATCTAAGTTCATTTTTGTACCAATACAAGATCTATGGATTGAGAAAATATTTGTGAAAGGGACAAATACTTCACTTTGTTTTAAAATGCTTGCCATCTTTATTTTATTTTATTTTTGTCCATTTTGGCATCTGGGGACAATTGGAACATTTTCCTCATAAAATTTTCTCTGTTTCGTAACTGTATAGTTGGTAATGATATAATTGTGGAGCTGCAGGTTGCCATATTTGTGGTTTTAGCAATGACATTGCGACGTAAACCTGATGTGTTGATCAGTCTAATGCCCGCAATAAGGGAGGATGCAAAATATCAAGGACACGATAAGCTTCCAGTCACAGTGTGGGTGATTGCTCAGGTGAAACTAGACAAAATTGATACTTTATTGAGATGAGGCTTTTTCAAGATTAGAGATAGTTGTTTCTTAGTAACTTCTCAATCAAGATTGAATTGGTTTGTGTGTAGGCCTCTCAAGGGGATTTGGTTGTGGGGCTCTTCATGTGGATAAATTTCCTCTTGCCGATGCTGAGCAGTAAATCAGGTTGCAACCCGCAGGCCAGAGACTTGATTTTGCAGTTGGTGGAGAGGTTGGAAACTATTGCAATCAATTCCGTGGCTAGTCCTAATTTATCTTATATATTTTTTTTTAATTCTAAAACCTCTCTGCATTCCAACTTAAACAGAATTTTATCTGCCCCAAAAGCTCGTCCTATTCTTTTAAATGGTGCTGTCAGAAAAGGTGAGCGCTTAGTGCCACCATCTTCTCTTGAGTTTCTCATGAGAGCCACGTTCCCTGCTTCTTATGCTAGAGTCAAGGTGTGTATGAGTATGGTAAATAGTATATTTATTGCTATATTCATTTTACATTGTACATGGATCAGTCTGTGATTATCACAGAAGTTGGTGTATTGAGGTTTTTGAATTATATTCAGTCAACTGAGAGGTTTGAAGCTGTTTATCCAATATTGAAAGAGATTGCTCTTACTGGTTCCCCTGGAAGCAAAGCAATGAAACAAACTACACAACAAATATTGCAATTTGCACTCAAAGCTACTGGAGAAGGTAAGACAATCTTGATAGGCTGCCTTTTTAGTGGCTTTTTTAATTATTTGGTACACAATAGGCCTGTAAATTAAGATCAGGGATTGATGGTAGGAAGTTGTTTGCAGGTGTTCCTAATCTATCTAGGGAAGCAAGCAATATATTCATATGGTGTTTGACTCAGAATCCTGACTGTTACAAGGATTGGGTGAGCAGTTCCGATTATTATTTTCTCGAACTCCTATGAACCTTGAGCTTTTACATCTTTCCTTGCACACGCATCAATAATTTTTGTTTTCTTCATAAAACATACAGGACAATCTTTATCTGGATAATCTTGAAGCAAGCATTGTTGTTCTCAAAAGGCTGGTTGATGAATGGAAGGAACACTCTGTTAAACATCCTACTGTTCAGCCTTTGAAGGTGACTTTAGCAAGCTTCAGGAAGAAGGTAATCTTATACACCATAAAATAAGATGTTTTAAAGATGTGGCTTTCCTAGTAGCAAAAGGAAGAACAGGGGAGATGAGAAAATATGGACCACCGAGATTTATTTCTCTCATATTTTCTTTTTTGTGAGATCCAAATGGTTTACTAAATTTCCATTACATTCAACCTGCTTTTGATGTTTGCCATAAGATAATATGCCAAATATTTATGATCTTGCATACATTGTGAATGAATGCTTCTTCGTTACTCTCTACCCCACAACCCCAAATTTTTGGCATCCGGTTATTTCCTTCATTGAATTTGAATTCCCTATAATTTCAATGGTCTTGTCCTTATGTGTTAAAATTGTTCAACCTTGTCTCCATTGGTAATTCCATTTTAGTTTCTTCACACTTTTTATCATGTTTAGTGTGAATGGTATCAATAATGATTTTTTTTTAGCTGACTTGTTTCATCATATCGCACTGTAGAACGAGAAAGCATTGGCTGCAGATGAGGATGATGACCGCAAAGCATCCTTGAAGGATGCAGACAAGCACTGCAAGGTGCTGATGGGGCGATTGTCAAGGACTCATGGATGCATGAAGATTGTGGTGTTTGTGTCCGTTGCATTGGCTGTGGGCGCTGCTTACATGTCCCAAAACATGCAGTCTTGGGACCTGAAAGAACTTTTGGTAGATTTTAACTTCCCTTAAATCTTCCGAGTTATCTTTCTTAGAGGCTCATGAGCACAGATGATGGCTTATGGCCATCACTACATGACTTAATTATGTCCTGGCATAGATGACCAAAATGGTCCATAGCAAAAATGGGGAGGGAATGCGTTGGTTTTGTCGTGAACTTTTTGACTGGTGTCCGTTGGGTTTTGTGTAAAATGAAAATAGGTATAGGAGCAGCAGCAGCCAAATGGTGTGGGCTTTACGTTTACAGTGTTGATGTGTCTGGTTTCCAGTTTGGACTTATTTCAATGACCTTCCTATCATAACAACTTTCAGTTGCAAGGCTTTTTCTTTTTCGATTTTTACACTTCACTTTTGCAAAATTGTCATACGGAGTTTGTTTCAATTTAGCTCCTTTTATTCTCTGTTCTCTTTTATGTTGCATGATAGAATAGTAGCTCTCTTCTTGTTGATTGGTGATGGTTGAGGACTGCTTGTGCAAACCTAGAGATTGTGTTTATTTCAGGATAAAAGTTAGGGTTCGGTTCTGTCTGGTTGTTGGTTGTGTTCTCATTTTCTTGGGGGAGGGGGAGGGAATTTGTTTGACGATTACGACTCACTTTTTAGAAAATATCAAAAAGTTGTTTCTGAATTTTTGAAAACTATTTTCACACAAAAAAATGTTAATTTTAAAATGATGGTTGATTTCAAAACTTTATGTTGTTTTTGTTTCTAAAAAAATGGAAACGAAGAAGATGAAAACACAACCAAACAGGACCCGTCAACAGCCTCCTTGTCACCAATTAGAGGGCTGTTTGCTTTGAATGGCAAACTAGTTTGTAGGTTCATATGCATATAGATTTGTTGTGTATATACTGAACAGAGATTTTTTTTGGTTTTTTGTTCAAAGCCCTATGATTGGTAGTCTATAAGTAAGTATTAGTTTGTTCACCTGAAAGGGTTCTTGCTTCTTGTAGCTGAATGGTAGTATTTATTTATTTTTTATTTTGGAAAGGCCATTCATGATGAAAAATCTCCTTCAGTTACTGAATGCAGTGAATATTATAACTTGATTTGTGAAATTAGCCTTTGTGTGGGGGCCCAAGAATTGAATTTTTTTTAACTTTTTGGGTCCTCCTTCCATGCATTTTACTGAAGTTTTCCTCTAATTTAGAGCTGTATCTGGGCAGCCATTACTCATCTCCGGTGACCACACCAACGCCCACTGCCTTCAATTACCATCCCTCTGCTATCACCTCTAGCCTTTTTGTGATTACCCCTACCTTTCTGCAACCACCCCTTTACTCTCTCTCTCTCTCCAAACCCACCTCCACCCTTGCCCAAGTCCATTATGACTGGGCTCGTGGTGATTCCTCCACCACAAAAGCTGGTGGTGATCACAGAGTCAGTAATTAGAGGTAAATTGTGAACGCGTCCAATTTCATATTTCTGATAATGTGGTAACCATAGTTGCTTTTGACTTTTGATGGGGAAATATTAGATTCTTTGTTTGACTATTCTGTTTGGAAGACTTAGATCAAAAGATGATGATGGTTCTTAGTTTACTATCCATTTTGGACTCCTAGATTAAAGTGGTGGAGACATTTATGTAATCGAAGAGCTTAACATCTTGCTAGAAAGGGTTGTGCGCTTTGAAGATGATGAGTTGGACAAAATCGTCTTAAAAATAGTCCAACGAAAAATTTTGTCATGGAAGATGAGCGCTTGAGTTTTTGGAGGACTTTACAAACTATCAAATAATCTCTCGTCCTTATCGCAAGACATAGCTCTTTAAGAGGGAGTTTTAATAAAATAAAAAATTAAATTTAAATTTTGTCACATTACCTATTATTATTATTATTATTATTATTATTATTATTTACATCCATATTATTCCTTCCCTCACAATCCTCCTAATCAGGGACGGATTTAGGGGTCACATGCTCTTTGAATTTTTGATAATTTTACTTGTACCCTAATATATATATATATATATATATTTTGTCTTATATATCCTTTATAAAATTATAATAGTGCCCCTCTATTAAGGATTTTATTTCTAATTACAAAGATTCTACTAAAATGGGTCCTTCTACCATACACTCGCCACAATGGTTTATCATATACAACTTATAATATTTTATGGTGTTGATACTAGAAAGTGTTATAACCAAATCATTTTCAGTTATAACTAAAATGACCACAACAAATAATAATCAAACACCACATCTTTAATCATAATCTAAAAATAATCCAAATAGGTCATAACTAACATCACAACCAATCATAACCAATGGTCATAATCAAAATAACAATCATAAGAAATCATAATTAAGTTACAACCAATATCACAAAGAAGCATAATTAACACCATATTTTGTCATAATCAAATATTACAAAGATCATAACTACAACATATAATACACTTTTTTTGCGATGTGTTTTATAAAATTTTCCTACTGAAATATATCATTTCTATCTCTACTTATTTATTTTTTTAATTATAATTTTTCAATCTACTTATAATAGTTACTCCCTAATATTTTTATAAAATTCAACCTTAAATCCCTTAATTGAAATTTATATGTATCCAAATAGACTTGTAATATTTAAGTTTAATAATAGTTTATTATGATAAATAAATAATAATAAAAAATTCATTGTCATTAATTTGTGCCCCTCTGCTAAATTTCTAGCTCTACCCTCCTAATGAGCTAACAAGACAAAATGCATGCAACGAGAGTTTTAAAGAAATATTTAAATGTGGATCAACTTTTCAAGTTTTACTTGTCACATCATTTGGGGGGTTTAGGGGGAGAGAAATTGTATGGATAAATCACTTTTCTATTACTATTTGATATTTGTTCGTTTTGATATTTTTTTTCTAGGGTCGAGAACTTATAATATTTATGGTGCTAATTATATAATAGTGTTAGATTATGGTATTCATTTGCTCTTAAGAAATACTATAATCCTATAATTATTATTATTATTATTATTATTTTGTGTGGTTGAGATTTACTGGCAAGTCACATCAATTTTTCTGATGTGACTTGCCAGTAAATCTCAACCACACAATGTAGCACTCTAGGAAACTTTAAGAAAATTTCACTCTAGAGGATCCTTGGTGCGTTTTGGGGGGCTACCGGGTAGGGCGGCCGAGGATCCGGATTCGAGAAATTGTATGGATAAATCACTTTTCTATTACTATTTGATATTTGTTCGTTTTGATATTTTTTTTCTTGGGTCGAGAACTTATAATATTTATGGTGCTAATTATATAATAGTGTTGGATTATGGTATTCATTTGCTCTTAAGAAATACTATAATCCTATTATTATTATTATTATATAAAAATCGTAAATGAAATACGTAACTACAATAACATAAACTAAATATTTATTATGAACTTCATATCATTGCTCTCACGTAAGAGGTAAAGGGTTTATCCAGGCTGGCTCTAGCATAAAGCCAGCAAATTCTTTGCTTTAGACTTCAAATTTAAAAGACTCTTAATTTTTTGAGGGCAAATTTTATTTTACTCTCTTGCAATTTGTTACTCCTTTGCCATTTGAAAATCATTACATAATCCTCTCATAATTACTGGATTGAAATGCACAATTACAATTTTTGTCAAAACTAACCAAAGGTGTAATTCACACGCATCTGTTGAGAGTTATTATGAGAAAAATTCTATTTTCACACTCTTAATTACCTCAGTGCACATCTTTTCTTAATACACAAACTTATTAATTAATTTTCTCATTCCATATACTAAAAGTTACAATTATACCCTTCACTCATAATCATTATACACACACTACTCAACCCTCTTTTCCACACATTTGTTGAGTGACCCTACTTTTAGATTTGCAAACCCACGTGAAGACCATTCAAGACTACAATTTGAAGTGAAGTGAAGTGAAGACAAACCCCTCCATTGAAAACCTTCCAAAATATTGTTGTAGATGAGGCATCTTTCTATTTTGTTTTTACATTTACCATTTTTTTATTGTATTTACCATTTTCAATCTTTGTGCACTCCATTGCCACAAAACTCTCAGTTTTTTTTTGTTTTTTTAATTTTTGTTTAAGTTTTTCAATTTGGGGATTTCAGCACTGGTTTTCCAAAATTATACATTTAATTTAAAACTTAACTTCTGAATAAAAGTGATTAGTTTGAAAATTTTGTTCCCAAAAAGGTTTTTAAAAAAAAACTTTTTTGTTTTTACATTTACCATTTTTTTATTGTATTTACCATTTTCAATCTTTGTGCACTCCATTGCCACAAAACTCTCAGTTTTTTTTTGTTTTTTTAATTTTTGTTTAAGTTTTTCAATTTGGGGATTTCAGCACTGGTTTTCCAAAATTATACATTTAATTTAAAACTTACCTTCTGAATAAAAGTGATTAGTTTGAAAATTTTGTTCCCAAAAAGATTTTTAAAAAAAAACTTTCAGCAATTGATATCCAAATATAATGAAATAAGTCGGCACTAGTTGTCGGACTGAAAACCGTGAAAAAAAAAATGTTCTGCTAAAAAATACTAACATTTTCATCACTAATAGAGTATAAATCTAGAGATTAAAACAATCTGAGAGTTGTTATGAGAGTATTATTGTGCAAACAATAGAAGAGCATAGAGTGTCTAACAAACAAAGTGACAACAATGGAAAAACTAGGGTTTGGTTTGTTTTTTTTTTTTTTTTTTTTTTTTTCCCAAAAAATTTACTTTTATTTTTTTTTTTTTTTTTTTTTTTTAAAAAAAAGATGTATACAAATAATATTTTCATATAATTTATAGGTGCTAGTAGACATCATTATGGTCATTTTAGTTTAGAATATAATTACTATTAAAATAATAGTTCATTAAGTGTGTGCACTGACATAATTAAGTGTGTGGAAGACTTTTTTTTTTCCAGATCAAAACACCCTAATAAGTCTCTAAAATTACAACCCTACCATTCATCTACCTTTCATGATCCCAAGCTGTTTGGACTGGCAACCCATACACCATAAGAACGATGGCAATGCCAGGCTAGACGGTGGTGACGGTGACAACAAATGATCCGAACCACTCACCACGAGTCCGGATCCTCTGCCATTGTTTCTTGCAGTGCCTCCTGCCATGCTCCAAAATGACGTCGTTTTGGAAGTTTTTTTTTATTTTTTGGCCCTTCTTCTTCCTCTCAAACGTTTGTTTACTCATTGACCTGAACCAATATCCAAAATCAAATTCAAAATAGACAGAACAAGAAGAAATGCATTCAACTTCTAGCTCACATCTTTCATCAACAAAGCATTAGCTCTCAATTCACGGATTCGAGTCTCTTCGATTCGTTTTCCCTTATACGAGAAAGTAATATAGGTGTCATAGAACTTGAAAGGGCCATGATTCAAGTTCTT